CTGGCGAGCTGGGGATCAACATAACATCGATCAGCATCGCCAGCCAACGTGTCACTAGCACTGGGATCGAGCATGCGCTCTCCTGCGCCCTCTAGGTATGCACGGCCACGATCCCCCACCAGGTCGAAGACGGACGACACCGCATCTCGCTTCTCAGGCAGGGAGACCCGACCTCGCTGGTACGGCGCGAGCGTAGTCATAGAGGCGTCCATCCTGTAGCCAGACGCCTTGTCACAGAGCAGCTCCCGAAGGGCCACTTCTGGCGGCAAGTAGTACTCATGGCCACCGTCGCGCACCTGGAGCGCAGCCAACTGCTCCACGTAGGACAGCACCTCGTCACGCTCGCGGGTCACCTGGCACTGGCCGAGCTCCGAAACATGTTGGGGCCGCCCGCGGAGATCAGGAAGTCGGTGGTCGTCGGTCTTAGCAAGCCAATTAAGTGCATTCGAAGCGCCCTCGACGAGTTGCCGCACGTGGTCACGTCTGCGGTATCTCTTCGACCGACGCCCTCCCGAAGTCGGCGCAGACTCCAAAGGCGGCAGCGCGATCGGGAACTGGTCAAAAAGCTTGGGGCGCCCTCCCGCCCGAAAATCCCCCACTCTCAGCGGGCCGCGGCATGGAGGGCCAATCCGCGACCCGTCGTCTAGGTCACCCGCCATCGGGGGCGGCCGCATCGCCTCTGCCGCGGCCCCCCCGTCCTGCCCCAGCACCGCGGCCACGGCCGCCGTCGCCGCGGCCCGCAGCGCCCGACGGGGCGGCGCTCGGGTCGGCGCCGTCCGCGGGCCGCGGATGGCGCAAACGAGCCTGCTCCAGCTCGTTCTGGTCCTTCACCTTGGTCAGGCCCCACTTGCGCAAGGCGGGGGCGATGGCGCCGATCGAGTTGGCCTCGCCCTCGTAGACGCCTGCCATCTTCCAGCTCGGGACGCCCCCGCCTGTCGCGTAGGCGTCGATCACTCCGCAGATGCGTCTCGTCAACTTCTCGATGCCCGCGGAGGCACCCAAGTTGAGCTGGTCGTACTCGCCGAACAACTTCAGGCCCTCCGTGAGGTTCGTCATCTCGTGGTAGACCCTGTCCGTCTTGCTGATGCCGTGGTCCCGCGCGAAGCCCTGCCACCAGCGCCGCGAGTCCCCGCCGTGCCGCTCGATGAACCGAGCGAGGTGGAGCGTGCCAGGCGGGCCCTGCACCTCCACGGCCGTGATGGGCTCCTCGCGGCTCTCCTGCACGGCCCTCTTGAAGGACTTGAAACGGTTCCCAGACTCGTCGTAGTCGACCCACAAGGTCCTGACGTCGTCGTCGACCTCGACGGGAGGAGTCTTCGCGCCGCCGATCGCCAAGGCTCCAGCAGGCGGCTCAGCAGCAGTCGACGCGTAGCGAGCCTTTAGGCGGGCAACGAAGTCGACGCACTCGCTGGAAGGCACCGAGCGAATCCTCAAGAACCCGCCGTGCCGATGCACCAATCCGTCGTGGCTGGTGATGGCGATGTCGCCAGGCCTCAACGTGACCTCCAGCCCGAGGGTCTCGTGCTTGTCGGAGTTCTCGCACACAATCCAGACACGACCCTCGGCGGGCTCCTCGCGCGCACGCAGGGGACCGAAGGGGTCCTCGGTAGCGTCGCGCACAGCGCCCAGGCCGACCGCGCCAGCGGGCCCCGCGGGAGCCCCAGCGCCGTCGGCGTCGCCGTCCACGACCACGAGGCCGCCAGCGGCGGCCGCGCCTCCAGGGGCCTCGGGCCCCCCCGCAGGCAAGGGCGCGGGACCGCCCAGGCGGAGCCGCCTGCCCACGCCAGCCAGCGCCTTGCGAGAGCCCTCGTGGTCGATGTAGTGAGTCATCGACAGCGGCTCCTCGCCAGCGGCCCTGATCTGCTCGACCTGGGCCCTGGCCCAGTCCACGATCTGCTGGCTGCTTGGATAGCGGTCTCCAGCAAAGCGGTAAAATTTACCTCGCAGGCCAGCTGGACAATTCCCCATGTCGTCCAGGAGGACGATGGCTTCGCCTTCGTCGCCCTCCATGGTCATGTCTTCGTCGTATTTGTCGTGGTCGGGCGTCAGCACCTCCCAGCGACTCACTCGGCCGAGTGAGTCGCGAGCGCACGGGCCGAGGACCACCCTCTCGTGGTAGAGGTCCTCTCCTGGGTACCTGACCGCCACGAGGCGGCCAGGGAGGAGCTCATTCAAGAACTCCCGCACCGTAAGACGCTCGCCTGTGGCCCCGAGTCGCACGGCCCGCGGCGCCACCGCGAGCGCCATCCCGCCGACAGCAGCAGCACTTGCCGAAGAAGGTCACCCCGTAGATGAGCTGCCCGAAGCCGAAGAAGCCCACGCCGCCCGCGAAAAGGGCGAAGTCCCTCGCCCCGCTGTTGCACTGAACCTCGCACACGCAACGATCAGCGGCGAGCTGCTGCGCGATCTCCTCCACGATGCCAGGGTGGACCCAGCTCACAGGGCAGACAACGTCGTCCCGCGCAGGCGGGGCGGGAGGCGGTGCCAGAGCCTCCGAGCGGCACCAGTCGGCGTCGCCGCCGTCCCAGGGTGGCCGTCGCGCGAAATGGTCCCGCACCACGAAGGTTAGGAAGGCGAGGAACGCTCCCGCCACACCCTGCATGCGGCGAAAACTCTCGAGCCCAGACGACTACTGAGTGACACGATGAGGTGATGAGACCGACATCCCAAAATCCGCTAAGTCATTAATGTGCACGCACCCCCATGATGCTGATGCTGATCATTATGATGACGACGAGCAGGGGAATGAGGAGGGGGAGGAGGAAGAGGAGGGCGAGAAGGAGGAGTTGGAGGAAGAGAATGAGGAAGAGAAGGAGTGAGGGAGGAGGGGAAAGCAGATGAGGATGAGGATGAGGATGAAGATGAGGATGAGGATGATTATGATGATGATGATGATGATGATGATGATGATGATGATGATGGCGATGGCGATGGCGATGATGATGATGCTGATGAGGAGGATGACGTGTTTTGTTTTGTTGGAGGGAGCACTGTCCCAAACCGCTGTCTGAATCAAGAGCGCAGACTGCAGACTGCAGTATCGGGAGCATAGCCACCAGTGATGAGACGCAAAAGGAAGCCGCCTGAGAGGAAGACGTAGCCACCTACAACATGCGGGGGAAAATACTGATTGCAGACTGAGGGCTGCACGGTCAGCCAAACTGGAACTCCGCGACTGCAGTCAACTCAAAGTGGCCCTTTTGGCCGAGATGCCCTTAACAGCACGGCACACATGAAGGCCGTCGCAAGATGTAGTGACCCGGACTCTCGGGAAAGGGCGGAGGAGGCAGGATGGAAAATGGATGAGGGAGAAGGGATGAGGGAACGGAGGGGGGAGGGGTGATGGGTGGGGGGAGGAAGGAGGGAGGATCGAAGGGGGGGGGGAGCGAGGAAGGATGATGATGATGATGATGATGATGTTGATGTTGACGATGATGCTGATGATGCTGATGAGGATGACGATGATGATGATGATGCTGATGATAATAATGATAATGCGGATGGGGAGGAGGAGAAGGAGCAGGAGGATGAGGAGGAGGGGAAGAAGTGAGAGAGGAGGACTATGGAGGGTGATGAGGATGGGGAGAAGGCGGAGTGAGGAAGGAGGGGAAGGGAGGGGGAGGAGGCAAGCTAGGTGCGCTCGCGTCATATCTGACATCCTACCCCTCCCTCCCATCCCTTACCATGGCGCAGATCCCCTCTCTACTCGCACAGTCGGATGTCGAACAGGGCAATGATCCCGAAAGGGTACGCGATGCAGTGTAGAGCACGGCATGGCATGGCGTAGAAGAGCACCGCAAAGCGTAATATCAACCTAACATTGCATTGCACGCCGTGGCATGGCACGGGAAATGACGCCAGCGCTGCAGCGGCGGCACGAGTCGAAACGAGCGGAAGCGCGGAAATGAGGCCAGCGCTGCAGCGGGAGCACGATTCGGAACGAGCGGAAGCGCGGAAATGAGGCCAGCGCTGCAGCGGGAGTACGATTCGGAACGAGCGGGGCCCGAAAATGAGGCCGGCGCCTCAGCGAGAGCAGCATTTTGAAAAAAAATGCAAGCGAAAACCCAACTCCCTGGAAACCTGTGTGTAAAAAAACAGGACGCGGGGGGGGGGCGAACACTCCCAACACGTCATCAGGGGAAGAGAGAGAGTAGTATTCATATTGAGTAATTGTGGAAAGGAGGAGGGAAACGGGGGCAGGAGCTGGACCTCCAAGCCCCCAAGGTGGCCGAGCGGTTTTGGGTCAAGGGTGCCCTGGCAGGCCACGACCTCAGCGTCCAGTGCGCCCCTGGCCCGACACTCCTGTGAGCCAAAATGGCTCTGAGCGTCGCGGCAATCCTGTCGGCCTCAAACCACGGCTCCTCCATCCTCCTCCTCCCTCCCCGTCCCCCTCTTCCTCCACGTCCTTGACCCCGTTTCCCTCCCCGTTCCCTTCTCCTTCTCCTCAGCTTCCTCCCCCTCTTCCCCTTCCTTGTCCTCATCCTCATCCTATTCCTCCGCCGCCTCCGCCTCCTTCCCCTTCTCCTCGTCTGCCTCCTCCTCCTCCTCTTCCTCTTCCTCCTCCCTGTCTCATCCTCTTCGCATCCCTCCTCCTCCTCCTCCTTCTTCTTTCCGTCCGTCCCTCCTTCCCCTTCTCCTCGTCTGCCGCCTCTTCCTCCCTCTTGCTGCCTCCTCCTCCACCTCCTCCTCCTCCTCTCCCCCCTCCTCCTAGTCATCTTTCTTCTCTACTTCCTGATCTTCCTTCTCTCTTCTCCCGAAACCAACAATGCTCAGACGATTTACCTCTTGTGAGCAGACTGCAAGCTCAGACGGCGGGCGCCGTAATATGCCCGACATGACTGCGGTGTACTAAACCCGGCCTGCATGGGAAGGAAAACGCCTTCCTCTTGAGAGTACACGAGGTCGCTAGCTTGTCATGTCTTGGGCCCTTCTCGGGGCACTGTCTGGAATATTTTCAAATTGGTCCCATGGACGTTTGCTTTGCACATCACCGGCCACACTCAAGAGGGCACGCCGCGAACCTTTGTGAACGGCTCGTGCTCGTCGTCCAGCCTGAACTTCGCCCAGAGGGACAGCGAAGCCAGCCTGAGGGCGTTGATCGCCAGCAGGCCGTGCGCTGCAAAGACCAAGTTCGAGGCGAAGTCCCTGCTCAGGGTCCACGTACCGCTCGCCAACAAGTTAGAGGCCACCGTCGAAAGGGTTCAGCGCGTCAAGGGAGACGGCCCCAACGATGTTGAGCATCTTGAGCTGGTAAGGGAAGTTTCTCAATTGCCAGGCGGTGAAAGAGAACATCATGCATTGGACGAGACTCAGCTGTAGCCCTGGGTAATATGAAATCGGCGCTGCGGCCACAGCGCATTTCAGGAGGATGTTCTTTGCAAGGCGGTTGGTCTCCCAACCTTGGTTCTCTAGGCCATCCGAGGCAGTGAGGAATCGCATGGACTGGTGGTTGTTCAGATTGCCGTCGAGGAAGTCACGGCGGAGAAACTACCATCAAATTGTGGGGCAAAAACACCTGCCATAACCAGAACAGGCACCTGAATGGCGATGTGTCTCCAGCGCTTCTCGGAGCTCTCTTCCGTGGAGTATGCCATCAGGAAGGTCCCAGCGGCCTCGTCTGTCTCCATGTAGTCCTCGGTCTGCGTGTGGTAACACGGGGTAGCGATCACACATGCGGCCGCGATTTTGGGCAGATGCAAGCTTCCTGTGATCAGCCCGAACGTCATTATATCCTTCTCGAAACTGGAGTCTAGGTCCAAATGCCGGCGGATGATGCAAATGATGCTCAGCATCATGACGGCAACGGCAAGAACAATGGTCGGGTTTGCTAGCGACGCCAGGAGCACTTCGTTGAGCGAAAGCACATGCCCCAACAAATAATTGCCGCTCAATTTCCCTAGTGGCTGGCCGGATTCAGTGGCGGCCGAAAACCATCCTAGCGGCAACTTCGCCTTGACACTGTGGTCTTGACAGGCGCCTAAAGCGCCCAAAGACGATATAATCACGGCGCAGCTCGAGCTGAAAGAGAGGGTACTCTTCAGCACATCGTTGGTGAATGCGGCAGCGTTACCACGCGCAGCTGCCATTTGTACGATCCGCAATAATACCGCCAGAAGGGCGGAGGGTTGGGGCCAGCCAACATGCCCACTGCCACGTGGCGCACTTCAGGCACGCCAAAGCATCTGTTAATGAGCGGCCCCAGCCGAGCAAACAACCAGCACATCCAGCAACGCGGCCATTGTATCCCTGCACGGGCGTGCCTCCCTGTTGCGTGCAAGTTGGCAAAAACTGCTGGTGCGGGGCTGGCCACTGCTGCTCCGTCTGAACATGACCCCGAAGACTTCACCAGGGCAAACTCTGCTGTTGGGGCACTTGTGGGCTTGCATGCTAGTGCAAGATGTATTGATATCTATGCCTGCTTTTACCATGTGGCCTGCTGGTGTCTGGACACCCCACCACTTCACAAGGAAGCTGCCAACCACTTGTTTCCCGAATGTGGTCATGCACTAGTCTTCAATTTCCCAATCACACCCCCCTGGCCCCTGGCAAACTCTGCGTAGTTTGAATTATTCGACGCTCGCGCGACCATGCGTCATCTTTATACACCTGACCCGTCTCTTTGGCTACGGCGGTGCAGCGGTTCACGTTCACGCTCACGTCCACCTAGATCTTCTCCTCGGGCTCCAGGTGTCCGTCGTGCGCTGGCGGCATCGGCGCCAGGCGTTCTTTGGGCTCGGTCTATCCATCTGGTGCTAGTGCGTCCTCTTCCTCTTCGGCTTGTATGTGGTGTTCACCTTCGGCCCCACACGTGGCGGCTCCTATTTGCTGCGCTGCGCGGCCCACTTCATGCGGCGACTCCCGCGGAAATGGCTCCCACGGCGGCGGTTCCCACGGATGCGACTCCCACGGTGGCGGCTCCTTCGGAGGCGGCTCCCACGGCGGCTCACGCGGATGTGGCTCCCATGGTGGCGGGTCCCACGGCCCCTACGGCGGCGGCTCCCACTACGGCGACTCCTCGAGGTGAGCACCCTAATTGCCACCGCGGCTACCGTGGCGGCAGCTCCCCGGCTGCGGCTTCCACGACGGCGGCTTCCACGCGGAAGCGACTCCCACGGCAACAACTCCCACGGTGGCGGCTTTCACGGAGGCGGATCCCACGGCGGCTCCCAAAGCGGCGGCTCCCAAGGCGGCGGCTCCCAAAACAGCGGTTCCCGAGGCGGTGGCTTCCACGGGGGCGGCTCCACGGCGGCGGCTCCTACAGCGGCGGTTCCCACGGCGGCGCCTCCTACGGCGGCGGCTCCCAGAAAGACCCCTGCGGAGGCGACTCCCGCGGCGGCGGCTCCTACGCAGGCGGCCCGTACGCGCGGCGGCTCTCACGCAGGCGGCCCTCGCGCGCAGCGAATCCAACGCTGGCGCAGCGAAATAACGACCATGAACGGATTGTACGGCGACCAAACACGCTCAACTTAACGGAAAAACGGCGGTTCCGTCAGGCGGTGGCTCCCTCGCGGCGGTTCCCACCTATGGGCGATGACGTGCATGGGCCATCATCGCTTCGGTTCCCCAGGCCTGTAGTGCCTGGGACAGGTCGCTCCTGTCTCACTCGCAAATGCTGCGGCACGCGGCGGGCTGCAGCAACGCTCGCCGTAATGCACTGCGAGGTTCGTTCTGGTGCTGCACACCGCGTGGTCGGCTCCCCACCTGTGCCAACGCAGACGCTGATAGTCCTTCAACACCCACGCGACCAGAAATCCTCCTCCTCCTCCTCGTCGTCGTCCTCCTCCTCCTCCTCCTCCTCCTCCTCCTCCTCTTCCTCCCCCTCCTCCTCCTCCTCCTCCTCCTCCTCCTCTTCCTCTTCGTCGTCCTCCTCCTCCTCCTCCTCCTCCTCCTCCTCCTGGTCCTCCTCCTCCTCCTCCTCCTCCTCCTCGTCCTCATGATCATTATCGTCGTCATCATCGTCGTCATCATTGTCGTCGCCGCCGTCTGCGAGAAACACTTCGTCGGCGGCCAAAGCAGCCGGCCGGGCTGGGCTGCGCGGGCGCACCGCTCTCGTGCGGGCGCCGGCGAGCGCTCCGCGCAGCAACCCCTTGGCGCGCATCGACGCGCCTCCCGGCACCAGCATCGCCAGCCTCAGCGCGGGGGAGTCCATGTCCTCGCGGCAGGCGTACCTGTCGGAGGAGGGCGAGCTGAGGCACGGATCGTCTTTCTTTGGCCCTCACAAAGGGCCCCTCAACGCCGCGGCTGGACGTGGAGAGAATTGGCGCGTGTAACCCTGAGAAATCTCAGGGGACCGATTCTGACCAGATTTAAGCGGACGGTACGGCAGCCGTGTACATTGAAGTTATATATATATATATACACATATCGGGGCCTAGTGCGGGGGGGTCCCAGGTCGAGCCGGCGCCGAAGACGCGATTTGAAGACGCTGTTCCCCCAAGGAGCTGCGGTGACGCCTCAACTCCGCTGGCGCCTGGTGAAGCTCGTGAAGCCTCTATTCGGCCTGAAGCCTATTCCGTCGACGCCCATTGAAGCTCGTCAAGCCTCTGTTCGGCCTGAAGCCTCTATTCCCTTGACGCCTGGTGAAGCTCGTGAAGCCCCTTTTCGGCCTGAAGCCTCTGTTCCCCTGGAGCCTGGTGAAGCTCGTGACGCCTCTATTCGGCCTGAAGCCTCTATTCCCTTGACGCCCGTTGAAGCTCGTGAAGCCTCCATTCGGCCTGAAGCCTCTATTCCTTTGGCGCCAAGTGAAGCCCGAGAAGCCTCTATGCGGCCTGAAGCCTCTATCCCCCTGGCGCCTGGTGAAGCTCGTGAAGCCTCTGTCCGGTCTGAAACCTCTATTCCCCTGACGCCCATTGAAGCTCGTGAAGCCTTTATTCGGCCTGAAGCCTCTATTCCCCTGACGCCCGTTGAAGCTCGTGAAGCCTTTATTCGGCCTGAAGCCTCTATTCCCCTGGCGCCCGTTGAAGCTCGTGAAGCCTCTATTCGGCCTGAAGCCTCTATTCCCTTGACGCCCGTTGAAGCTCGTGAAGCCTCGAATTATTCGGCCTGAAGCCTCTATTCCCCCGACGCCTGGTGAAGCTCGTGAAGCCTGTATTCGGCCTGAAGCCTCTATTCCCCCGACGCCCGTTGAAGCTCGTGAAGCCTCTATGCGGCCTGAAGTCTCTATTCCCCTGACGCCCGGTGGAGCTCGTGACGCTTCGCAGGGTTCGTGCCCCAGGGGAGGGTAAATCTATAAGCAATTACGTAAAACGCGAAAGATTCGTGCCCTGGAAAGGGACCGTGCCCCAGGAGAGGGCCAATCACGCTAAGTTTTCGTCCCTTATGATACGACCTTTCTATCAGCACGCACGTGAAGCACGAAATATTCGCGCCCTTGGAGAGGGTCAACCTATAGGTACATACGTAAAACACTAAGAGGATTCGTGTTCCAGGAGAAGGCCGATCTATTGGCAAATACTCTAAACACAAAAGGATTCGTGCCCCAGGGGAAGGCCAATCTATATGCACACGCGTAAGACACGAAGGACTCGTGCTCCAGGAGAGGGCGAATATATATGCACATGCGTAAAGCACGAAAGGTTCGTACCCCAGGAGAGGGCAAATCTATAGGCACATACGAAAACACGCAGGGGTCGTGCCACAGGGGAAGGCCCATCTATAAGCAAATGCGTAAAACACGAAACATTCGCGCCCCTGGAAAGGGCCAATCTAAAGGCATACGCGCGAAACACAGAGGACTCGTGCCCCAGGACAGGGCCAATCTACAAGCACATGTGTAAAACACAAAGGATTCGCGCCACATAAGAAGCAAATCTCTAGGCATCACGTAACACGCTAAGGATTCGCGTTCCATGATACGGCCACTATAAGCACGCACGTAAAACACTAAACATTCGTGCCCCAAGAGTAGGCCAATCTATAGGCACATGCGTAAAACACAATGGACGCGCGCCCCAAGAGAAGGCCAATATATTGGCACATACGTTTAACACAAAGGATTCGCGCCCCAGGAGAGGGCCAAGACAGCTCCAGGAGGCACCGGGAGGGGCCAAGACAGCCCCAGAAAGCACCAGGAGGTCCCAGGAAACCCGGGTGAGCTCCGGGAGGCCCCAGGAGGCTCCAGGGGCTCACCGGGCTTTCTTTTTTTAATGGTTCTTTTTAAATGATCTTGGGGAAGGTTCTTGCCTATCAGAAGGTGCCGCACAGCAAAGGGGCATGTCCAGCACCACGGATTCTTTTTTAATCAACTTGGCGAGGGGTCTTGCCTAGCATAGGGTGCCGCACAGCAAAAGGCATGTCTAGCACCAGGGATTCTGTTTTAATGAACTTGGGGAGGGGTCTTGCCTAGCAGAAGGTGCCGCGCAGCAAAGGGGCTCACCTTGGAGAGGGTGCAGCACAGCAATGGGGCACATCTAGCACCAAGGATTTTTTTTCATCAACTTGGGGAGGGGTCTTGCCTAGCAGAAGGTGCCGCACAACAGATGGGGCACGCCTAGCACCAATGATTCTTTTTAAATCAACTTGGGAAGGGCTCTTGCCTATCAGAGGGTGCCGCACAGCAAAGGGGCATGTCCAGCACCAAGAATTTTTTTTCAATCAACTTGGCGAGGGGTCTTGCCTAACAATGGTGCCGCACAGCAAAAGGGCATGTCTAGCACCAGGGATTCTGTTTTCATTAACTTGGGGAAGGGTCTTCCTCCTCCTCCTCCTCCTCCTCCTCCTCCTCCTCCTCCCTCCTCCTCCTCCTCCTCCTCCCTCCTCCTCCTCCTCCTCCTCCTCCTCCTCCTGCCTAGCAAAAGGTGCCGCGCAGCAAAGGGGCTCACCTTGGAGAGGGTGCCGCACAGCAAAGGGGCACATCTAGCACCAAATATTCTTTTTTCATCAACTTGGGGAGGGGTCTTGCCTAGCAGAAGGTGCCGCACAACAGATGGGGCACGCCTGGCACCAAGGATTTTTGTCATCAACTTGGGGAGGGCCATTGCCTAACAAAGGGTGCCATACAGCAGATGGGGCACGTCTAGCACCAAGGAATCTTTTTCAATCAACTGTGGGAGGGGTCTTGCCTAGCAGAAGGTGCCGTTCAGCAAATGGGGCACGTCAACCACCAAGGATTTGTTTTAATCAAGTTGGGGAGGGCCATTGCCCAACAAAGGGTGCCACACAGCAGATGGGGCACGTCTAGGATTCTTTTTAAATCAACTTGGGAAAGGGGTCTTGCCTAGCAACAGGTGCCGCGCAGCAGATGGGGCACGCCTAACACCAAGGATTCTTTTTAAAGCAACTTGGGGAGGGCCATTGCCTACCAGAAGGTGCCACACAGCAGATGGGGCACGTCTAGCACCAAGGATTCATGTTTAATCAACTTGGGGGTGGGTCTTGCCTAGCAGAGGGTGCCGCACAGCAAAGGGGCACATCTAGCACCAAGGATACTTTTTTTGTCAACTTGGGGAGGGGTCTTGCCTAGCAGAGGGCGCCGCGCAGCACATGGGGCACGTCTAACATCAAGGGCTTGTTTTATCAACTTGGGGAGGGGTCCTGCCTAGCAGAAGGTGCCGCACAACAGATGGGGCACGTCAAACACCAACGATTCTCTCCCAATCAACTTGGGGAGGGGTCCTCCAGTAGGGGTCTTGCCCAGAAGAGGGTGTTGCACAGCAGATGGGGCATGTCTAGGGTTTTTTTGTTGAAAAAACCAATTACCTTGGGCAGGGGTCTTGTCTAGCAAAGGGTGTCGAACAGCAGCTGTGGCACGCGTTGTGAAGAGAAGGAACATTGTCACAAAGAAAAGCGTCTTCACCGGGAATAGCGTTTCCACCGGGAATATAGCGTCTTCACCAGGAGTAGCGTCTTCATCAAGAGTAGCGTCTTCACCGGGAATAGCGTCTTCACCCGGAATAGCGTCTTCACCGGAGTAGCGTCTTCACCGGGAATAGCGTCTTCACCGGGAATAGCGTCTTCACCAAAAATAGCGTCTTCACCGGGAATAGCGTCATCAACGGGAATAGCGTCTTCACCCGGAAAAACGTCTTCACAAAGTATAGCGTCTTCACCGGGAATAGCGTCTTCACCCGGAACAGCGTCTTCACCAGGAATAGCGTCTTCACCGGGAATAGCGTCTTCAACGGGAATAGCGTCTTCACGCGGAATAGCATCTTCACAAGGAATAGCGTCTTCACCCGCTATATAGCGTCTTAACCCGGAACAGCGTCTTCACCGGGAATACCGTCTTCACCGGGAATAGCGTCTTCACCGGAGGAGCGTCTTCACCGGGAATAGCGTCTTCACCAGGAATAGCGTCTTCACCAGGAATAGCGTCTTCACCGGGAATAGCGTCTTCACCGGGAATAGCGTCTTCACGCGGAACAGCGTCTTCACCAGGAATAGCGTCTTCACCGGAAATAACGTCTTCACCCGGAATAGCGTCTTCACCAGGAATAGCGTCTTCACCGGGAATAGCGTCTTCACCGGAATAGCGTCTTCACCGGGAATAGCGTCTTCACCCGGAATGGCGTCTTCACCCGCTATAGCGTCTTCACCCGAAATAGCATCTTCACAGCGCGTCTTCACCGGGAATAGCGTTTTCAGAGGGAATAGTGTCTTCATAAGGGAAATGCTGTCTGTGTCCGCAGAACGCTTCTTCACCGGGAATAGCGTCTTCACAGGGAGTAGCGTCTTCACCCGGAATAGCGTCTTCACCGTCTTCACTGGGAATAGGGTCCGGGAATAGGGTCTTCACCGGGCATAGCGTCTTCACCTGGAATAGCGTCTTCACCGTCTTCACCGGGAATAGCGTCTTCACAAAAAAATGTGCCTTCACACGGACGCGCGTCACAGGGAATAGCGTCTCCAAATAGCGTCTTCGGCGCCGGCGCGAACTGGGAACCCCGGTGGCGGGGGCAATGCATATATATATATATATATATATATATATATAATATATATATATTTATATTTATATATATATATATATGTATATATATATATATATATATAGATATTATACAAGTGGTCGCACCCCCTCCAAGACCATACCTCTCTCTGCTTCTCCGTTCCTTCTCTTCCTCCTTCTCCGTTCCTTCTCTTTCTCCTTTCCCTTTCCTCCTTCTCCACACACAATTCCTCCTCCGCCTGGCCCATCATCCTTCTCCTCCTTCTCCTTTGCGTTTCCTCCTCTGTAGCAGCACAAAACAAATAATACACAGGTTTTGGCGCCCTCGGAGCAAGGAGGCGCTTTTGTTGTTGTTGTTGTTGTTGTTGTTGTTGTTGTTGTTGTTGTTGTTGTTTTTTGGTTCAGGATGCAAGGAAACACATTTTTTCGGGTTTGGGAAGCTCAGGTGCTCCCCGCGGCCTCCCCCCAGCACCTCCTCCTTCTCCCCCCTCCTTCTCGTCCTTTCCTTCCCTCCTCCTTGTTGCAGAGCAAGAAAACCAATAATACAAAGTGTTTGGCGCCCTCGGTGCAAGGAAACGTTTTTTTTTTTTTTTTTTTTTCCTTCTTCTGTTTTTCGGTTTAGGATGCAAGCAAATTTTGTTGGGAAGCTCAAGTGCTCTCCGCGGCCTCCCCCCCCAGTGCCTCCTCCTTCTCCCCCTTCCTCTTTCCCCCTCCTTCTCCTCCTTTCCTTTCCTCCTCCTTGTTGCAAAGCAAGAAAACCAATAATACACAGTGTTTGGCGCCCTTGGTGCAAGGAAACGCTTTTTTTTTTTTTTTTTGTTTTGTTTCTGGGGGTCTGGGATGCAAGGAAACACGGTGTATTTTTGGTTATTTTTTTTTTTGGGTTTTGGAAGCTGAAGTGCTCCCCGCGGCCTCCCCCCCAGCACCTCCTCCTCCTTCTCTCCCGGAGCCCCCAAACCCCCCAAACCAAAATAACCCAAAGCACGCAGTGTTCCCTTGCATCCTATACCCCAAAAACAAGAAAAACCAAACATACACAGCGTTTCCTTGCACCAAGGGCGCCAAACACTGTGTATGATTGGTTTTCTTGCTTTGCATCAAGGAGGAGGAAAGGAAAGGAGGAGAAGGAGGGGGAAAGAGGAAGGGGGAGAAGGAGGAGGAGGTGCTGGGGGAGAGGCCGCGGGGAGCATTTGAGCTCCCCAAACCAAAAAAACCCAAATAACCAAACATACACAATGTTTCCTTGCATCCTAAACCAAAAAAGCCAGAACAACCAAACACACATAGCGTTTCCTTGCTCCGAGGGCGCCAAACACTGTGTATTCTTGGTTTTGCGTGGCTACAGAGAGGAGGAAACGCAAAGGAGAAGGAGGAGAAGGATGATGGACCAGGAGGAGGAGGAGGAACTGTGTTTGGAGAAGGAGGAAAGGGAAAGGAGACAGAGAAGGAACGGAGAAGGAGGAAGAGAAGGAACGGAGAAGCAGAGAGAGCTATGATCCTGGAGGGGGGCAGCTAGGTGTGTGTATATATACATATACATATATGTATGTATGCATCTACATATATATATATATATACATATGTATGTATGTATTCATGCACGTGTATATGTATGTATGTACGCATGTATGTATGTATGTATGTATGCATGCATGCATGCATGCATGCATGCATGCATGCATGTATGTATGTATGTATGTATGTATGGGTGTGTGTATATTGATTTAACGACAAGCTCAGACCAATTGTCGCCTACTAGTGTCTACAAATGTCCCTTTTGGCGCCCATTAGCGCCCACTGGCGCTTATTTATTGATGACTGTGAGCGCCTATGTGCGCCTTCTAGCGACCTCTAGTAAGCGAGAGTAAGCTCCAATAGCCAGGGAAGACAGCAACTCATGCCGAAACTTCCCCTCGCGCACAACACACACCCCAACGCCCGGCGGCAGCGGCTCCCGGGCAGGCGGGTACATGTTCTTGGCGCCGCGGCCACGCGCTCAGCAGCGCAGCGGCACTGGGCCAATGTCGAGAGAGGCGCGCGGACTAGCCCAGCTCACGCAGCAGGGACATGCCGGGTCCGCCCATAAAGGACACGCGGCATGACCTGCGGGGGTACCTGGCGGCATCGGGTCTGGTAAGGTTTCGGGTTGTGCGCAGGCAGCCCCCTCAGGTAGCCCCGGCTGGCCTATCGAGGCCAGCCAAGACTACCTGAGGGGGCTGTCTGTGTGCAGCCCGAAGCCTTCCCAAGCGGGTCCTGAGCAAGCGAACGCGCATACATGCACGCGTACGCACACTTTCGTGCGCTGGCCTGGTTGAACCTAGTCGAGCGGTTCAGTCACGCACACGCACACGCAATCCGTTCATGTGCGTGTGTATGTGCTCAGGCACTTACAGGTTTCGTGTATGCCTACGTGTGTGCAAACAAGAATGTGCAACTGGATGTTCTTCTCACGTTCATGTTTACGTGTCTTTTGGCTGCCGCGTTTCGCATCCAGCAGCTTACGGGGAGCTCAGCCCAAAAGCCAGACGTGGCGGGTGCGTACCTGGCCTGCCCCACCTCTCCTCTCCCTGTGTCCGCTCTCTCCTTCCCCCCCCTTTCTGACCCTCCTCCTCTCTCCCTCCTCCTCCGCCTCCTCCCCCTCCCCCTCCGCCTCCTCCCCCTCCCCCTCCGCCTCCTCCTCCTCGTCTTCTTCCTTGATCCTCCGCCCGCATCCCCCCCAGCGGTGGGGCGACCAGACCCACAGCAGCGTGTGCGCGGCGTACGACCCCGCGAGGAGACCCATGCAGAACGACGTGCCGCTCGACGCGCTCTTGTTTTGGAGGGAAAGAGAGAAGCGGCTCCATCCGACCTGGCCAGAATCCGCCACTGATGTTCAAAGAGAAAACTGGACAACGAGCGCCGCACCAGGACACCATCTGCAAGCTGGGGCGCGGAACTGTGGGATCGGGCGACGTGCTCTGATCGCAGCCCTGGTTGTAATCATACTAACACCGATCGCAAACCAGCTAACGTACCAATCCCAACTGATGACGTGATCGCGCTTAGCTGGTTCGCCGACACCATGGGGTATCGGCGTGTCAGATACCAGTCTCTTCAAAATCCCTGGGGTGGGGGGGTATTTTTACGGCTGGTGCGTGGGGATAGTTATCAAAGGGTGACGGCGAAGACCCAATAATGGCATGTCAGCGCCATGCCTGGCAAGACACGCCCCTTGAGACTGCCCGCAAGGGCGCTAAGGTGCCGCCCAGGCGGCCCAAGAGGAGAGCCACGGGAAGTCGCCAGGACAACCCAAGAGGTTTACAATACAATTCAAGAAGGTCTCGTCCGGCCCTGAGAGGCAACACAAACACACTCAGACGGCCCCGAAGAGAGCCCACGAGAAGCCCTGTAGTGTCCGAGTGCTGGAATGATGCGATGGGGGTTCAACACTTCACACATTCACAAGCCCAGGCTGTCACTGCTGCTTGCGACTGCTGCCGTTGTTGCCACCGTTGCGACTGATGCTATTGCTTCTGCTGCTACTGCTGCTGTTGCTGTTCCAGCTGCCTGCTTCTGCTGCTGCTGCTGCTGCTGCTACATGAGTTAATGTTGTTATTGCTGCACCTGCTGCTTCTACTGCTGCTGCTTCTGTGCTGCCGCTTCGTCTCCTGCAGCTTCTGCTGAGGCTACTGCTGGCTTGACTCTGCTTTTGCTGCTTCTGCTACTGCCAGTGCTGCTACTGCGGAGTGCTTCTGCTTCAGACACTGCGGCGACTACTGCTGATGACTTTGCTGACGCTGAGGAGAGAGCACCACCCCGAAGCAGGAGTGCTGCTGGCTCTATGGCGAAAGCGCCATTCCAAGGGAAGAAGCGGCGAGCACACCGTTCTGAGGAAAGAGTGCGGCTGGCGCTAAGACGAGACCACGATTCCGAAACCAGGATCGGAGGCAGAGTAGTGGCCTTTCGTTGAGGCGAGGGGTACATTGCGAGGCGAGAAATACCCAGGGCTCATTCCGAATCAACGATGCTGGGAATGGCTGGGAACTGCTGTGCATCACGTCCTGCCATGCTCGAAACAATACTGATGCACCAAAACCATCGTTATTTACAACTAAGTTCAGAGAAGAAAAACTATGCGGACATGCTTTTCATTCCCACTCTTTTGACACACAAGACGGGTTCATGAGCGCTTTCGAAAGACCCAAGACAAACCAAGAGGACCCAAATACTCTTCCAACGTGGCCCAGAAAAGCCCCAAGACTGGCCGACAAAGCACCTGTAGGCGTCCATGACGGCCCGAGAGAGCCCGGAGATGTATCCAATAACACCCCACGATGGTCCACTGGCAACCCAGCTCCAGCAAGCGGCCAGGAGGCCCACGAGGAGCGGGCCAGGCGGCCCACGAGAGCCCAAACTTGATAAGAGAAGCTCGTGGAAGCCCCATCAAGCGCTCTATGGGTCCCATGACAAGCACCGCGAAGGTCCAGTGGAGGCCCGAAGCACCTAATTATCCGGGCGAAAGACCTAACCATATGCACTTGTGAATGCCGCGTTGTGGGTACCGCTCTCGGTGGAGCTCCGAACCGTGTGAGGGGTGTGCCAAAGTGAGCGCGGGGACGCATTCGGACCCTGCCACTGGGGACTTCGGTGGAGCTCCCTATGGGGCCACGATTCTCGTGAGGGGTGTGCCGAAATGGGCGGGGGACGCATGCGGACCCTGCCGCTGGGGCCTTCGGTGGAGCTCCCTATGGGACCACGATCCTCGTGAGCGGTGTGCCGAAATGGGCGGGGGGACGCATGCGGACCCTGCCGCTGGGGCCTTCGGCGGAGCTCCCTATGGGGCCACGATCCTCGTGAGGGGTGTGCCGAAATGGGCGGGGGGACGCATGCGGACCCTGCCGCTTGGGCCTTTGGTGGAGCTCCCTATGGGGCCACGATTCTCATAAAGGGTGTGCCGAAATGAGCGGGAGGACGCACGCGGACCCTGCCACTGGGGCCTTCGGTGGAGCTCTCTATGGGGCCACGATCCTCGTGAGGGGTGTGCCGAAACGAGCGGGGGGATGCATGCGGACCCTGCCGCTGGGGCCTTCGGTGGAGCTCTCTATGGGGCCACGAAGCGTTGTCCTGGGTGGGTGAAACGCAGGGAGGTGACGAGGCGGATGGGAGAAGGGAGGAGGGGGAGGAGGGGCAGGAGGAGGAGAGGAACGCGGGGCGCTGTCTCTCCAACACGAGGGCCGAACACCACAAGATTGTTGGGAATTACCCTACGCCATGCCCAACCCCCGCGTAATGCGGGGCATGAGTAGCTTGGGCGACTTCATACAAAAGGGGGTGGTGACGAGACATGGACGTATGTATTTCTGTGCCCAACATCTGGGAGGTCCCATTTGAATCCGCCGCGGGGCCCCACTATGCTGCCCCCCCCCCTAGCAGGCCTCGAAAGTGGCGACAGCTTCACAGATCGCAGCCCCCAAGGAAGGCGAAGTCTAATGCGAATCTGCGTAGCACGTCACTATGCTGGACCCCCCAGCAGGCCTCGAGCGTGGCGACCGTTTCTCAGATCGCAGCCCCCCAGTGACGGCGAGGTCTAATTTGAATATGTGTAGGACGTCACTGTGCTGACCCCCCCCAGCAGGCCTCGAACATGGCGACATTTTCACAGATCGCATCCCCCAGGGATGGCGAGGTCAAGTTTTGAATCTGCATAAAACGTCGCTGTGCTGGACCCCCCAGCAGCCCTCGAACGTGGCGACATTTTCACAGATCGCAGCCCCCCAGGGATGGCGAGGTCAAATTTGAATATGCGTAGGACGTCACTATGCTGGACCCCCAACAGCCCTCGAACGTGGCGACATTTTCACAGATCGCAGCCCCCAGGGATGGCGAGGTCCCATTTGAATCTGCGTAGGACGTCACTGTGCTGGACCCCCCAGCTCGAAAGTGGCAGCATTTGTAAACATCGCAGCCCCCCCCAAGGATGGCGAGGTCAAAGTTTGAATCAGCGCAGGGCGTCTCTATGCTGGACCCCCCAGCAGGCTTCGAAAGTGGCGACAATTTCACAGATCGCAGCCCCCCCCCCAGGGATGGCGAGGTCTAGTTTGAATTTGCGTAGGGCGTCAGTATGCTGGCCCCCAGCGGGCCTCGAAAGTGGCGACCATTTCACAAATCGCAACCCCCCCCACGGACGGCGAGGTCCCATTTGAATGCGTAGGGCGTCACTGTGCTGGACCCCCCAGCAGGCCTCGAAAGCGGCGACAATTTCACATATCGCCCCCCCCCCCCCCCGCGCAGGGATGGCGAGGTCAAATTTTGAATCTGCATAAACCGCCACTGTGCTGGAACCGCCCAGCAAGCCTCGAACGTGGCGACATTTTCACAGATCGCACCCCCCCAAGGGATGGCGAGGTCTAGTTTGAATTTGCGTGGAACGTCAGTATGCTGCCCCCCCCAGCAGCCCTCGAAAGTGGTGACTGTCTCACAGATCGCACCCCCCCAAGGAATGGCGAGGTCATATCTGAACCAGCGTAAGACGTCACTGTGCTGGACCCCCCAGCAGCCCTCGAACGCGGCGACAGGTTCACAGATCACAGCCCCCAGGGATGGCGAGGTCCCATTTGAATGTGCGTAGGACGTCACTGCGCTGGACCCCCCAGCAGCCCTCGAAAGTGGCGGCAATTTCACAGATCGCAGCCCCCCAGGGATGGCGAGGTCCCATTTGAATCTGCGTAGGACGTCACTGTGCTGGACCTCCCGGCAGCCCTCAGAAATGGCGACAATTTCACAGATCGCAGCCCCCCCGGGATGGCGAGGTCCCATTTGAATCTGCGTAGGACGTCATTGTGCTGGACCCCCAGCGGTGCTCGAACATGGCGACAATTTCACAAATCGCAGCCCCCCAGGGGTGGCGAGGCTCCATTTGAATCTGCGTAGGACGTCACTGTGCTGGACCCGCCAACAAGCCTCGAACGTTGCGACAATTTCACAGATCGCAGCCCCCCCCCACGGATGGCGAGGTCTCATGTGAATCTGCGTAGGACGTCACTGTGCTGGACCCCCCAGCAGGCCTCGAAAATGGCGACATTTTTACAAATCGCAGCCCCCCAGGGATGGCGAGGTCAAATTTTGAATCTGCATAAAACGTCACTGTGCTGGACCCCCCAGCAGCCCTCGAACGTGGCGACAGTTTCACAGATCACAGCCCCAAGGTATGGCGAGGTCCCAATTGAATCTGCGCGGGACGTCACTGTGCTGGGGCCCCCAGCAGGCCTCGAAACTGGCGGCATTTTCACAAATCGCAGCCCCCAGGGATGGCAAGGTCCCATTTGAATCTGCGTAGGGCGTCACTGTGCTGGGCCCCAGCAGGCCTCCAAAGCGGCGACGGTTTCACAGATCGCACCCCCCCAGGGATGGCGAGGTCCCATTTGAATCTGCGTAGGACGTCACTGTACTGGACCCCCCAGCAGGCTTCGAAAGTGGCGGCAATTTCACAGATCGCAGCCCCCCAGGGATGGCGAGGTCCCATTTGAATCTGCGTAGGACGTCACTGTGCTGGACCCCCCAGCAGCCCTCGAACATGACGACATTTTCGCAGATCGCAGCCCCCCAGGGATGGCGAGGTCCTGTTTGAGTCAGTCAGGCAGGTCGCCTTGCACCAGACGGTGCGCAAGCAAGAGAGTATGCCACAACACAGAGATCAAAGGTGCCATGCGCGGACAGCTGACTCCCATGCCGGTGCTGCACCGCCTTCAGGGCGGAAGTAGTCAGCAAGACGGGCAGGGGTGCCAGCAACGTCCACACAACTGTTCATGACCATTCTTCCCCACGTTTGCCAGGGTCGCCCTCTCTTCCGGGGATCTGTCGGCTGCTTGAGAGTTAGACTGCCTGGTTCAAATACCGACTGTCTCACTGGATCGTTGCCCGCGCGTCTAGCGAGCTGCCCAAAGAAAGTTATCTGTCGTCTGACGATGAGCTCGCTGAGCGGCCGTTCACTGGCCACGCCTAGCACGGCGCTGTTCGACACGCGACTGATATAAGAAGGTAGGGCCCGACATATAGATCTCAATCGGCGTGCCTGGAAGCCGTCAATTCTTCTACGTTCTGCCTGATTAAGACATGCTGCAAATAGACAGTACACAAGCTTGGCGACAATGCGCGCGTTGAAGATTGCTGCTTTTCTCGCTCTGCTCAACGAAGAATGTGACCACACCGATTTCAATGCTTTGAAATCTTGTTTGGCCATGCCAAGTCTCGTGTTCAGCTCAGATCCACATCGCCCGTCCGCCGCGAGCTGGGTGCCGAGGTAAGTCAGAGCTTCCTTTTCTTGCACTTGAACTCCCGCGCTGTTCTGCAGGTGCGCGTTCGAGCGGACCTTCATCAGCTCCACTTTCCTCCAGTTCAGGCTCAACCCGTAATGCTTGCCGCAATTCTCGACGCAGGCCATCAGCTCGCCCACTACGACGGGATTGGCATCGAGGAGAAGAGTGTCGTCGGCGTAGATTAATTCCTGGACGAAGTGCGCATCGGGAAAATCTGCCAAACGAGAACGGAGTTCCTTGTGTGCGTCTGCCATCAAAGTCGTCATCACAATGGTGAACAGAAAAGGAAACACGGGGCACCCTTGGCAAATACCGTAACACTGATCCCGTTCAGCGGATGATGCGCCAAAATCCGACACCACAAACGTCCTGGCACTGTAAATTGACTTGACCATGTCGACGAATTTGTCTGGGCACCCAAATCTTTTGAGCGAGGTTGATAAGGCGTCCGGCGCCACAGAGTCGAATGCCTTCGCCCAGTCGAAAGCCAAAAGCAAAGTGCTGCCGTGCTTGGTTGCCCATGTGTCCTCTATGACTCGTCTGGCCACGAAGATCGCATCTGCGGTGCCTCTGTGAGACCGAAACCCAAATTGAGTTGGCCAGACGCGGTCTTCGGCCCCAGCGTCCTTCAGCCTCTGCAGCATGATTATCGCGAATACCTTGTACCCAATGGGGAGCAGGCATATCGGTCTGTAGTCATCGCACGATGCCGGGTCGCCCTTTTTGTAAATCATGCGGACGCGCGCCTTGTGCCGGGCGTCAGGGGCGCGACCCTGCGTCCACGCCATATTGCAGAATCTGGTAACCCAAGCGAGCGCAGGCACTCCGTCCTCTGCAGCGGCTTTCCAGAACTCGGGCGGCAAATCATCGAGGCCGCCAGCGCGACCGTTTTCCAATTTCTTTGCAGCCCGAGAGACTTCACCCTCCGTGATGGCACTTAAATTCACCGGCAGCTTCTCGCTCAGCGCAGATGTGTCCGGCAATGCTGTGGTTGGCCGAACAGCCCACTGGACAGCCTCCAAATGTTTTGCCAGCGTGTCGGCCCTGCTGTCGCTGTCGACCAGTTCGCCGGCGCTGTCGCGGAGCCGACCCTGTGCGGGGCAAAACCCCGTCGTAGTCTACGGATCTGCGCCCAGTCTCCATTCTGCGTTAGCTCTTCTAGCCATCTAGCCCTGTCCCTTGCGACCGACCATCTGATACGTTTCGCCGCTTCTTTCTCGCGCACGACGTCACAGGCGAGTCTGGCCTGCGATCGCATGCTGATCAGCTCGGGGGTATCATTGCTAATCCAAGGCTTTCGTTTCCTTTGGGTCTCTAGAGGCAGGGAGCATTCTTCAGCGTGCCTTAAACTGTCAACCAAGCGGCACCATCCCAAGTTCACGTCACTTTGGTCCGGCGCCTCGTCTTCGAATGTTTCCAAAGAGTCTGCGAAGTGCATGGCCAAATCACGTTTTGCCCACGGCTGCGAGAGAAGTCGGCGATCTCGACGGCGCGCAGGTTCTCGATCGCATTTGTCAGCGTCTAGCAGCACAGACGCCTGCAGCAAGAAGTGGTGGGAGGATAACGGCACCTCCCGGCGCGCAGACACGCCTCTGACTTTGTGGAGCCAGCTTTCTTCGCACACGAGAAAATCGATCTGCGAGTGCGTCTGCCATCCAACATCCGTGCCCGCCAGGGTGCCGACGTTGTAAGACGTCGCCAAGCGATCGAGAGGAACGTCAAAGAATGTGTTCGCCAAACACATTTTCAGATGCGTGCACGTCTCCACGAGCAAGTGTCTGTTGGCGTCCTCCTTGCAGTCCCCCCTGCGGGCAGAGCAACACATGGGGGCCAACAACAGAATGCTCTCCATCGAGTCTGCGAAAGAGTTTTGCGTTCAGGTCGCCGAATGCAAGCTTGGGTCCATGAGCGGATGTGGACTCAACAAATTCTGCAAGATCATGGAAGAACGTGTGCCGCTGTTCGAAGGGTTTGCCACTGTGGGGCGCGTAGGCGGTGAAGAGGACGGCCTTCCCACCCGGTACTCGTAGCTTCAAGGATGCCATTCTGGATGTAGCCTGGCAGAAGCCCACGACCGATCTCCGCACCCATGGCGCTACCATGAACCCTACTCCAGCGCGCTCTGAATCGTCCTCTGCCCCGCTGGAGAAGATACTCAAGAACCCAATCTCGGTAACGAAGGTATCGGATTTCGACCGCCAGGTCTCTTGCACGCAAACGATCCCAATCTGATTATGGTTCATAACGCTTTCCAATTCAATTTGTTTAGCTTCCGTGTAGCCTTCAATGTTCCACGATGCGATATGGAATTCGGCATTTACAGGGCGTACACGTCCACCCCGGACTGCAGGAAGAGGCATATTGGCTTCGCCAGAAAACCTCTGCCCCGCAATAAGATCATCAGGAGCTCCCAGGGGATGTGGGAGGCAAGGCTGACCATCCCCAAGTAGCTGAAGTGAAACTTCTCTGCTTGCGCACCGCTGGCGCCCCTATTTGCGATGGGAGCCCGTTCCCTTGCCACCCTTCGCCTTTCCCTTGAACGCTGCTTTCCCGCTTCCCTTGGTAGGAACGTTTTCCAACTTACTGCTCAGCTTGGCAACGTGGGCGGTGTACTCGGGGAAGGCCGGGTCCGTGAGCCACTCTTTCCAACCAGGCCCGTAGTCCACGGACAGTTTGTTCTCATCGACGTGCCCGTGAACAGCGACGACATCGCCTACCCAGACTTTGCCGTCTTCTGGGTCGGCCCACACGGCTTTGGACTCGTATCCCCATTCCCTGAGCATGTGTTTCACTCCCAAAACGAACGAAGAAAATATGCGTTCCGAGAGGACCTTGTCAGGCTTCGCCCAAATATTGTTTCCCCCTTCTTTGAGCGACCCTTTGCGGAATACGCTGACAGCTTTATCCCGGTCCCCTTGTGGACAGGAACTTCAGGAAAACAATGCCCCAGAAATCTCCTTTGGTGTAGGTGTCCTGGGGCTGGGGCCCGAGAGCGTCCCAAAGTCTGTTCGACGCCCACTCCTTCACCTCCTGCACCCCCCCGAACGACTGCAGGCCGCCGATGACCAAGGTCTTGTCCCTCTCTGCCTTGTTGTCGGCACTGCTGGAGTCCGAAACGTTCAGCGTGGCGATCTGCAGCTCCAAGGCCTTCAACTGCTCCCAAATCTCTGCGTTCGCAGTGCAATCAGACCGGGGAGTGTTCGTCAAGCTGACGTGCTGCTTCTCAAGGTCCGCGATGCGAGTCTCGCAATTGTCAATCTTCCCCTCCACTGCGCTCATCCGGGAGTCCATCATGTCGCCCATTCTGGTGACCTTGTTCTCGAGGTCAGAGATGGCGCGCTGGAGCGGTGTCACCTCCTGCCGGAACATGTTCACGATCTCCTGAAGGGTCGGCGCCTGCTTCTGGGCGCCTGCTGGGGTGTCTGGCGTGCCGATGTGGTGCTCCTCTGCGCTTTCAGTCAGCCTCATCCATCTCGTTCAATGGGCTGAAGAGTCTCTGCCGCACGTCCCGCTCTCCACCAAGCGGAGTACCTGGCTGGCGGGTGTTTCCACGCGCCCTGGCAGGCGAAGACATCGCGCAAGACAAGATGTGAGAGACAGTCGAGAAGAGGAAATGCAAAGAGAGCAAATACAAGAGGAGTATGAGTATGAAGTATGTCAGGGCCGCTCACGCCCTCTCGCACATTCTGGCCTTGAGCCAGTCCTTGAGCCAAAAAACGGCACTGTGCTGGTCACTGCATGCACAAAACGTCACTGTGCTGGTCACTGTGCTGGTCACTGTGCGAGGTCCCGTTTGAATCTGCATAAAACGTCACTGTGCTGGTCACTGTGCTGGACCCCCCAGTTTCGCAGATCGCAGCCCCCCCCCCGAGGCAAGACAGGAGGAGGCAGGAGGTTGGCGGGAGGACGCGACCACAGTCCTCTATTCAAAACGAATACCTAACCAAGGAGGGTTGGGAAAAACATCGAGAACCTTTCCTTCCAGCCGTTCTCACTCCTCTCTCCCCCCTCTTTCTCTTTCCCCCCGGGTATCCTCAACCGCCTGCTCATCCACCTCGTCTTTCTCCTCCGTCTCACACTCCATCTCCCATATCCCACATCCACCCCTTCCTCCTCGTTACCTCCTCCTCCTGTGCTACTGCGCGCTCCGCAAAATCCGCTGAGTACGGGCGTGCGTGTGTGTGTGTGTGTGTGTGTGTGTGTGTGCGTGTGCGTGTGCGTGTGCGTGTGCGAGGGTGTGTGTGTGTGTGTGTATGCATGTGTGTGTGTGTGTGTGTGTGTGTGCGCAACCCGCGGCAAATCGACCCATGACGTGACCGAGTTGAAACAAGAAGCCCCTTCCTTTGGATTCGGTTTCCCCCGGCGGGGGGGTGTGGTCCTGGGGGGCGGTCCCCGTGGGTGGTCTCGGGGATGGTCTCAGGTGGTGTGCCGGGGGGGAGTGGGGGAGGAGGGGGGGAAGAGGAGTCCGTCCGCGCGCGAAACCTGGCTGGGGGCCAGCGCAATCGATCAACACACTGCGGCAGCCACGTGAGGACGACAGTTGCCAGGAGGGGGGGGGCGGGGGGCGGGTGCGCCGCCGCGCCCCTGTCTCTCTGGAGCGACTCGGGCGGTCTTGGGGCCAACTCGGCCATCTCTGGGGCTCCCTCTGGCCCGCTCGGGCACTCCTGGGGCCAACCTCTCGGCCCGCTTCGTCGCTCTCGGGGATCTCTCGAGCCGTCTTGGAGACCCTTGGGGCCTGCCCAAGAAAGGCCCCCCAAAGCGGTGCGTTTTTTATTAGCATTCTCGCCGCATCGGTCGCGAGAGCGTCCAAGACGCAAGACGGCCCACGAAACCCCCGACACCAGACAAGCATGGCCCCCGCAACAGGGGTCAAACCTCGCGCAGCCGCCGCACCGCTGGAAGCCAGCCCATCCAACATGATCCTAAGACCCCCGAGGCTCCCACGAGAGGCCCAAGAGGCCCAGAGACACGCCCAGTTGAGCCACATAGGGCTCCCAGGATCCCCCCAAGAAGCCCGCCAAGAGCGCCCCAAATGTTCCTAAGGGCTCTGAGGCACGACCCGAGCGCAGAGGCAGAGTGGGCAGAAGAACGCTAGATGTTCGCCCTCGCGTGAAAGCCACCACTGCCCTTTGCCTCCGTCCCTCACCCGCCTCTTGCGCTTAAGCTGATCTTTTCTCCAGGTCGGCGTAACCGGCCGTCAGGCCTTTGCGAGAATGCGAGGGCGGGCGACTTCGGATGTGGCGCCAGCAGCAAGCAAAACGAACACCACGATAGTGCGATCTTGCTCGGGGAAAATGTGTCGACGAACACTGAGTGCGCAAACGGTCTCGACCTGGGTTGCAACGAGACAGCAACACTATAGAAACACAGTGTTCACGCAATCGCGACCGGAGGCTCCGACAATCACGCCTTCATCGAGCATGTAATAATTCTTCGCTGCGAAACAGGGGGCAATCACTGCAGCGCCGATAAGCAGCTGAATGACTCTTGAGCACGGCTGGGGCGCATGCACGAAGCCGGCTTGCAGACTCAGGACTTCGGTTGGCCGAGAAGGTAACGGTCCAGTCTACTGCCATGTTGATTACTGCGGTGATGCACGGCATCTTCGGGACAGACGCGGAGCGGCATGCCCCTTCAGGACTCAGGGCTGTGACGTTACAACGAGCCCCAATCATGTCCGCATGCGGAATGTTCACTCCAAAATCTGATATCAAGCCGTATCTAATTCTTCTGTCGGCGAGCGAACGTGATTTCAACCTCTTTTGACTCACTGTGGTGACCAGGCGATCGCCACCTGCTCTCTGTGCTCGCCACGAATATATCCACCCAGAGATTGAAGAGCGCGATGATTTTCACAATTCCCTCGTTTTGTTCCTTCCGATCGGTGCCGGGTGCGTTGCCCTTCATATGCTGTGGGATTGAGCCTCTTTCATGGTGGTCATGACCGACGGACTGTTGAGCGTTTTTGCCCATCTTGCTTTACATGTTCGGGCGCTGCGTCCAACGATAGGTACAGAGCTACTGCGGTCCCAAACCTCGAGGTGGAAGAGGGTGAACACCCCTAATACTTACGACCATTGATGGCTGCCGTTGCTTCCGACTGCACGTCCGCCTGGATGTCTCTTTCGCTGCTGTCCGCATCGGGGTCGCGCTGTGTACACCAAATTCAGATCGGGCTCTGCGGCATCGTTGAACGCAACGCGGCTGCCCAAAACGTTGCAGTTCTTCTCATTCTCCTCAGTATCACCCTGCTGCTGCTGCTCCTCATCCATCTCACCATCCATCTCCTTTTTCAACTCCTCATCTTGCTCTTCCGACTCCTCGCCCTGCCTGGCTCATCATCGGACATCTGCGTATACTACACCCTTGGGGTCGGCGAAATGTTGACAACCACGATGGTGCCCATCTTTTATATATGTATGTTTATTCTTAAATATTTAAATATCTATATACAACAGACGTTCGCCAGCCCCCTAAGATCATGCATCTCACTTGCTCTGTTGTCTGGCGTCTTCTGTTGCCTTCTCTTCCCTTCCCTTCCATTCCCTTCCTTTATCATCTCTTCTCTTCTCTTCTCTTCTCTCCTCCTCTTCTCTTCTCTTCGCTTCTCTTCTCTTGTCTTCTCTTCTCGTCTCTTCTCTTCTCGTCTCTTGTCTCCTTTTGTCTTCTCTTCTCTTTTCGTATCGTCTCGTCTCCTCTCCTCTTCTCTCCTCTTCTTTGCGTTTCTCTTATCTTATCTTCTCTTCTCGTCTCTTCTCTTATTATTTCTTCTCTTCTCTTCTCTTCTCTTCTCTTCTCTTCTCTTCTCTTCTCTTCTCTTCTCTTCTCTTCTCTACTCTCTCTCTCTCAAAATCAATCCCTTCTCTCCTTATCTTCCTCCTTCTCCTCTTTCTCTCCTTCTCCTCCTCCTCCTCTCGCCTCCTCTGAATTGTTCTTCCCTTTCGTTCCCGCGGCGCCCGCCCCCCGCCCCAGGACGAGACTGCGGAAACACCAGAAAGAGCAATTGGGCAACGCCTGGCCGACACAGGACAACTGTGAAAAAAATCAGTCTACGAGGGCGGGAAGAGGAAACAAAGGAACCATTGCATCCCATCCCACAGATTACAAAGAACTCCTGGTCGTGGCGGCTCCCCGAAGGGATTCCTTGTTCTGCGGATTCCATTCGAGAAGCACCACTTGTGCGACGTCCTTCCCTATCTCGCTCATGTCCTCTAGTGCACTTGAAACAATAAAATCGCCAGCTTCCCAACTGATGGGAAGGGGACCCCTCGATGCTACAGCGTCGCACCGAGGCCGGCACAACCAAGGCAAGTCGGCGAGAACGTGTGGAGGAGGAAGACGAGACGACGACGACGAGGACGACAAGCGGACCGGCCACGAGGCGCCAGGAAAGGCGAGAAAGACGAGGGATGACATAAGGATTACATAAGGATACCTTCTGTGGCGGATGACAAAACAATTCCTTTTGTGGGTTTCCCCTCCTCCTCCTCCTGCTCCTCCTCTTCCTCCTCTCCTCCTCCTCCTCCTCCTCCTCCTCCTCCTCCTCCTCCTCCTCCTCAGGTATGTTTTCACATGTCTCCTCCTCCCTGGGAGGCTGAAGGTCTTTCGTATTTCTTCTTGTGCAAGGCATTTTGTCTCTCCACATGATTGTTTTTTCCATGTTTCTCTCCCCCTTCGTTCCCGCGGCGCCCGCCCCCGCCCCAGGACGAGACCACGGAAGCACCAGAACAACTAGATCTCTCTCTACATATGTACATGTATGTATATATGTATATCTATATGCACATACACATTTACATGCATTCAGGGATATATGAATATTTGTATGCATGTGTATATATAAAGGAAAGGAAAGCATAGCCTGCAACGGGCAACGTATCAAAACAACTCATCCTCCATGGGCGGGAATATGAAACAATGGGGAAGCATTGCATCTTCTCCTCCAGATTGCAGAGGACTCCTGGTCGTCACGGCTCCAACAAGGAATTCCTTCTGTGGCGGGTTACAGAAGGATTCCTAGTGTGACGGCTTACAAACGGATTCTTTTTGTGGCGGCTTGCAGATGTAATTCCTTTTTTTATGAAGGATTACGTAAGGAATCCTTTTGTGGCGGGTTCCAAAGAGGATTCATTGTGTGGCGGCTTACAAGAGGATTCCTTTTGGGGCGGCTTGCAAAAAGGATTCCTTTGTAGGGGATTGCCAAAATGTTTCCTTGTGTGGCGGCTTTGAAAAGGCTTCTTTTTGAGACGGATTGCAAAAGGATTCCTTTTGTGGCAGATGGCAAAACAGGTCTCTTCTGGCAGGCCTCCATAGAATTTCTTTTGCGGCGGAATACGCATTGATTCCTGTAGTACGGGAGCACAGCCAATGACTGAGGAGTCCGTTCGCCGTCCGCCGTCCTCCCTCTTGATCCTCCTCCTCCTCCTCCTCCTCAATTTCATCCTCATCCTCATCCTCATCCTCATCATCGTCATCCTCCTCCTCCTCCTCATCATCATTATCATCATCCGCATCCTCCCCCCTCACCGCCATCCACCTCCCCCTCCTCCTCCTCCTCCTCCTCCTCCTCGCATACCCTCCTCCCTTCTCCTGCCCGTCTGAGGAGGAGGAGGAGGGCGAGGATTGAGGAGACGTGAAAGGTGGAGGGGCGGGGGAAAAGGGGGGGTGAGTGAGAACAGAGGGGACGGTGGAGCAGGATGGTGAAGATGAGGAGGAGGAGGAGGAGGAGGAGGAGGAGGGCGATCCTCCTCCTCCTCCTCCTCATCATCATCATCTTCATTCTCCTCATTCTCCTTCTCCTGCTGCTCCTCATGCTAGTCCTCGCTGATCATACTGCGACCCCTCCCGTTCCTGCTCCTGCTGAGGCTGCTGCTGCTGCTGCTGCTGCTGCTGTTCGTCGCCCTCATCCTCCGCCTCCTCCTCCTCCTCCTCCTTCTCCAATCTTTTTCCTTATAAGCAGCTCCTCCCTGTCGCCCTCCGAGGCCGGTCGACAAGGGCGGGCCAGGCGTTTCGCCTGAGACTTCCTCACCTTTTATGACCCTGAAGCTTAAACATTGGCAACAGTTTCGCAGATGGAGGGCGGGTGGTATTCAGAATGTCACTCGCTTTCGCGCTGTGCACGTTCGTTTCAACATGTGCAAGAGTTTCGCGGATGGAGGGCGGGCCGTTTCCAAAATGTAGCTCTCACCTTAGCGCCGCGCACATTCGTTGAACACATTTGCAATAATTTCACGGATGGAGGGCGGTCGGTTTCAAAATGTGGCTCTCGCCTTACCGCCGCGCGCCTTCATTCAAAACGTATGCAAAAGCCTCACGGACGGAGGGCGGGTGGTATTCAAAATGTGGCTCTCGCTTTGTCGCCGCGCACATTCGTCCTCAAAGTTTCCATGAGTTTCAATGATTGAGGGCGGGTGGTTTTCAAAATGTGGCTCTCGCCTTGGCACCGCGTTTTTTTTATGTTTTTTTTTTTTTTTTTTTTTTTGTTCTTACAAAAAATTAATGTGTTTTAAACAAATAATGAAAACCTTTTAAATACAACGTACAAGAGTCTCACACATTCCCATGGTCAGCGTGCAAGAACTGGTGTTTTGGAAAGACTCAGGATTCTCAGGGCGCAACCACTATTTTGATTCGCAGTGTTGAAATCCCAAGAATGGTGTTGTGGCACGGTTACGGATCGCCAAGACGCAACAATCATGTTGATTCGTGGCGCTGGAACCCCGAGAATGGTGTTTTGGCACGATCCAGGGTCGTCAAACGGCTGTCTTTCAACGATCCCTCAATGGAAATCAACCTGCTCGGGGCCTATGAAGAGGGAGCTTGGAGGAAGGGTTCCTTCCAACATCGTTGATGAGTCTTGGGTTTGCACTGGTCCTCCTCCTCCTCCTCCTCGCGCCCCCTCTTCCCCTGCCTCCCTCATCATCCTCACTCCTCGTCCTCATCATCTTCCTGCTCCCACTCCTCCTCCTCCTCCTCACCTTCCTTCCTCCTCCTCCTCCTCCTTCTCTTCGCTCCTCCTGTTCCTCATCGTCTCACTTTTCCTCCTCTTCCGAGGAGGGGGAAGAACGCGAACAGCAGGAGGAGTCAGAGCAAAGGAGGAGGAATGAAAATATGGAGGAGGAGGGGAAGGATGAGGATGAGGGAGGATGAGGATGGTGAGGAGAAGAAAGAGGGAGGAAGGCAGAGTCGATAAGGGAGTGAATTGAGGAGGAGGATAAGGAGAATGAGGAAGAGAGGGAGTAGGAGGAGGGCGAGGGAGGGAGGACGAGTGAAGCGGAGAAACAAATTACAATCATGAATAGGGAAAGTAAACGAGGAGCCGGATGCACGAGGAGGGGGATGAGGAGGGATAGGAGGAACACGAGGATGATGAGGAGGAGGAGTGAGGAGGTGTAACGAAGAGACATGATAATGTTGATGCTGCTGCTGATGATGATGATGACGATTATGGTCATGATGATGGAGCGGGGGAGGATGAGGAGGAGCAGGGGGAGGAAGGGAAGGTGGAACATGGACGGGGAGAAGGAATAGGATGAGGACCTGTCAGGAGGATGGTGATGAGGCGGATCAGAGGAAAACGAGAGGGAGCAGAATGAATGAGAAGGATGCTGTGCAGATGTAGTGAAGGTAGATGTGGTAAAGATGAGTGCGATGGGGGACACAGATGAGTACGATTCAAGATGAAATGTATGATTTTATGGGGGGCAACCATACATGCGTACGTAAGCACAGAAATGCACTCACATACATCTATATACATACACAGATGTTTATGCAGGGGCGACACACATTGCGACCACTTTCACATTCCATGCACAGACGCTTGCACATAAGGGCTGCATGTGCATTCCCACCTCACACAATGGATGTATGCACGCATGTATGCATGAATGATACTACAACGAAGCAGGCGGGGTAATGACGTACGCGTGTACACACATACATAAAACGCTGACACACATACAAACACATGCACTCATGTATGCATACACACAGCCATACATGCATACACACATACATACATACAACCATGCATACATACATACACGCAACCATGCACACATACCTGCGCACATACATACGTATACACACATACACACTTACAAACATACACATACACGCACATATCATACATACCTACATGCATACACTCTCACTTACGTACAACAATGCTTGCATACATACACACATACACGCATACATTGATATACACTCCCAGTACACTAGACGGGACAGGGCGGTCAAACCGTATTTACAATGTCGCTCACGTCCTCATCAAGACATGCAACGCGTCACGAGCGGAAGCGCACCCGTGATGCGT